TGAACGGCTTTGTGAATAAACAGAACTGTCGGATTTGGGGGAAGAGCATCCACATGCCGTACACGAGCTTCCAATGCATCCTGAAAAAGTGCGCCATTTGGGCAGGAGGGATCATCGGACCTTATTTTTTTCAAAATAATGTAGTTGTTTTCGTGACTGTAAATGGTGATCGCTGCCGTAGCATGCTGAGAGACTTTCTTTGGCTGGAAGTGAATTGAATGGACATAAATAACTTGTGGTTTCAAAAGGACGGCGAGCTTGCCACACCGCACGCGAAACAATGGCGTAACTGGAGAAAAAGTTCCAAGGTCGTATGATCTCTTGATTTGAAGACCAAAACTGGCCGCCGAGAAGTTGTGATTTGACTCCCTTAGACTATTTTCTCTGGAGGTACTTGAAAAGTAGAATGTATGGGAACCATCCTGAGAAGATTCGAAAACTGAAGAAAGAAATCGAACGTAATATTCGTAAAATCCAACCGATTTTTCTCGAAAACGTCTTCCAAAATTTCGTTAAACGAATATATACCTGTTAACGAAGCCGCGCTGGCCATTTGACAGATATTTAGTTACATGTTTAATATAAACATTTTCTCTTAAAAATCCAATAAAATATTTGCATATTTTTTTAAATTACTGTTTTCTTTGTCATTAAAATCAATTTGTGTTAAATCCTCACAAAAAAATGCGAAATATTTATCCTACGAATAATAACTAATATCGCTTTACCCGCGCTACACATTGCATTTTCATACAGCCATAGATATAGTACAAACTAAAAATATTGCATTTAACGAGTGTCAAATATCACGTATTATTATTATTATTATTTTTTTGGTGTGTCTCATCGGCTTCAACTACCAGGGTTATTTTGCCTGTTAATTAGAACCCAACAGTGAATGGTCGAGTGGGGAATCCTACCAAGGCATCAGAATTAATTTTAAATAATTAAATTAAATGAAAAAATTCCGGCCAATGGTGGGATTCGAACCCGGGACCCTTGGATCCACAGGAAGAGACTCTACCACTGATTATTAATTAATTATTTAATTATTACTATTAGCGAGTCCAAGACTATGCCAAAACTTTAATATGTGCAATAAAATGAACTTACTCTCATTATTTTCTCGTTAGAAAGTGCAATGGGAGAAATGCCAAAGTATTCGGTCTTAATTCTAGTTCCCAATAATGCCTCTGTAATTGGACCTCTAGCATTCAAGTCATCAGGAACTAATAGTGAGAAAAGAAGGTCGTATTTTGCAATCCATAGTCTAAATAGTGCTAAAAATAAATTTTTATTTTTTTTACATTAGTGCGTAATTGTTCAATATTTCAATTTGTATGCGTAATAAAAGTTATATGAATATAAAAATACGGATTTAAAAAATATTTTTGGATATACAGGGTGTTACGTTATTGCCTGGACAATAAAAATGTATATTTTTTAAATTGAACACCCTGTATTTTATTTCAATTTTAGAATGGTATTTAACCCTATAATTTTTCTTAAATATATTACAGGTACGCCAAGAAATTGATTTTTTATGAAATTAGAGAACGCTGCTATTTCCAAAATAAATTATCATAATTTAGGTAGGTTTACCTTGTTTAGTATACAAACTAATAAGTTACTAATTAGCTAACGATTAGTGGTGATAGAACTGGTTTATATTATACAGTGTATTATACACATGTCTTAAATATGGCCAATTTTAAGTTCATTTTACTCAGTTTTTCAAATGCAATACCCAGTATATTATTTTAGCATAAAATTCCTTATGAATTTACCAATTTAATGATACCAACATGTTAGCCAATAAAACATAAACAGGGTGTACCATCAGTGCGTAACTAATCTATAACTGTTTTATTATTGGAAATACGAAAAAAATATATAATAAAAGTTGTATGGCCATATTGAATTATTCTTACATATACAGGGTGGTCCATAAATGAGGGGCTGACAAAACCTATACTTTTTTAAAACAAAACCCCCTGTAGATAGTTATGCATATTTGATTGTTTACACATTGTGAAACAATTTTAATTGACCTAATTCATTTGCTATGTTGTATATAGGGTGTGTCAAAACTCGGGGTTATTATTTTCTCAATTTTGTAAATGGTATTAATTATTGGTGGTATAACAACCCCTCATTTATGGACCACCTTGTATATTTAGGAATAATTGTTAAATATGGTCAAACTACTTTAATATTGTTTTTTTTTGTATTTCCAATAATAAAACAGCTTCAGATCAATTAAGCACTGATGGTACACCGTGTATATGTGTTATTGGTTTAGATAAAAGAGACCGGACTGGTCTCTTTTATCTAATGTTATTGGATAACATGTTGGTATCTTTAAATAAGTAAATTCATAAGGAATTTTATGCTAAACTAATATACAGGGTGTTCCATTTAAAAAAATAAGTAAACTCAACTTAAAATTAGCAATATTTAAGACATGTTTCAAACACCTCTGTATAAAATAATCCAGTTCTATCATCACTATTCGTTAGCTTAGTATCTTATAAGTCTGTATATTAAACAATTTTTAACTCAATGTAAACCTTATAATATGTATACCTTATAATAATTTATTTTGGGGTCGGCATCGTTTTCTAATTTCATAAAAAATTAATTGCTTGGCAAACTTGTAATATTTTGAAGAAAACTTTTAGGGTTGAATACAGAGTTACTAAACCATTCTAAAACTGAAATAAAATACAGGGTGTTCAATTTAAAAAATATACTTTTTTGTTTGCCAGGCAACGCAATGCAGCCAACGCAACACCCTCTATATCCAAAAATATTTTTAAAATACGTATTTTTTATTTGAAACTTGTTTATAGAGTACAGAAAGAATACGGTATCTACTAATATATAGAGTATAGTAATTTTCTTTACCGGGTATACTGTCCAAGTATCCTTCCAAAGAATTGTATCCTATTAGTATGGGCACGTGGTGGAACTGTCCATTACTTAACCTTTCATGAGATCGTCCAGTAATAATAGCGTTTTCGTGATCTGGTTCTGCAACAGGTGCAAAAGCAAGACCTTGGAGAGGGTTATTTGCTATTAATTCCTAAAAAAATCAGTGGTTATTTATTTAGCCTAGGTAAGGTTATATATTTCGAAAATGACCATTTAATTCAAAAATATGTCCTAAACATGACTTTCCTGTCTTACCTAAAGTTATATAAGCTCTTTCCGGTTGTTCTGTGATATTATTATTATAATTATTATTATAATCATTATTATTTTTTTTTTTTGTTTTTTTTGTTTTTTTTGTTTTGGTTTGAAGCTTCGACTGCTGGGGTCATTAGCTCCATTTTTCGCATGTAATCTTTTCATATTTCACTCAACATATTGATAAGTTTGAGGTAAGTAAGTAATCTCTTTATTTTGTCATGATCATTTATTAACGCATTTTCTATTTCAGATGATAACTGTATGGAATTTCTTTGGTGTTCGTATCTTTGGCAGTTCAAGATATGTGGTACAATAATCGCATCTTGGCCTTGCTGAACCTGCGAGCAGGTACAGGTGAGTAATATTTGTATGTCCTATTCTTATTCGACATAATACGACTTGTTCTTTTCTCGTTAATTCTTTAGGGTAAAACCACTTTTGAATACTGGGTTTAGAGACTCTTAGTAGTCCATCGTATGTATTCCACTTAGTTTGCCATGTGGAGTAGATCTTATTTTTAATGTAGTTTTTTACATCATCGAGTGGTATAGGAATTCCTTCATCTGTGGCACCAAATGTTGCGTTTCTGGCAGCAGAGTCAGCTAGGTCATTTCCTCGTATGCTAGAATGGCCTGGGATCCACATGAGTGTTACCTCTTTTTTTCGGGAAATTAAATCTGTGGTTAATTCCAAAATCCTTACTACTAAATCATTTGAAGAGAATAGGTTTTTTAAAGAAGTTACAGCACTTAACGAGTCAGTACATATTAGGCATTTGTTGTTTTCACTTAATAAGAAAAACAAAAGTGCCTGCCATATTGCATAAAGTTCAGCATTAAAAATGCTGTATATTAACCCTAAACTCCATGAGAAGATTTGGTTGTTTGTTACTATGGCAGCTCCTGTACCTACCTCAGTTTTGAATCCATCGGTGTATATTATTAAGTGGTCATTAAAACGGTGAACTTCTTTAGAAAATAATAAACGATATGTTGATGTTGAAGTTGTCTCCTTTTTCCACTTAATTAGGGCAGTGTTGCAATTTGGAGGGATCCTCGTCCATGGAGCAATATTATGTTGGTTGATTCCCACTTTACTTACTACCGATAGACCATATTTTTCTGAGAGTTCTTGGAACCGTATGTTGGATGGTCTTGTTGCTGTAGGTCGGATAGTGTACGGGTTGTCTTTATTAGAAACAATATGGTGGTTTAGGTTTTGAGGCAAAGACTGTACCTTTGTAGCGTATACAATTGTTTGGATATCACGACGCAGACCCAAGGGTAAAGAGGCTGCTTCGCATAATAATGCTTCTATAGGACTCGTTCTAAAAGCGCCTGTGGCTAAGCGCAGAGCTGAATTCTGAATTCTGTCGAGTAGTTTTAGCTTAGATGGCCTAGCAGAACCATAAATTATGCTGCCATAATCTATCCTTGATTGGATAAGAGTTTGATATACTAATTATTATTATTTTTTTTTTTTAACTCGATATTTTTCGGTAGTTTTTTACAGGCATGAATCGGCCTTCACGGCAAGACACATGTTCTGCGGTTACGAATTATTATTATTATTATTATTATTATTATTATTATTATTATTATTAATTATTATTATTATTATTATTATTATTATTATTATTATTATTATTATTATTATTATTATTATTATTATTATTATTATTATTATTATTATTATTATTATTATTATTATTATTATTATTATTATTATTATTATTATTATTATTATTATTATTATTATTATTATTATTATTATTATTATTATTATTATTATTATTATTATTATTATTATTATTATTATTATTATTATTATTATTATTATTATTATTATTATTATTATTATTATTATTATTATTATTATTATTATTATTATTATTATTATTATTATTATTATTATTATTATTATTATTATTATTATTATTATTATTATTATTATTATTATTATTATTATTATTATTATTATTATTATTATTATTATTATTATTATTATTATTATTATTATTATTATTATTATTATTATTATTATTATTATTATTATTATTATTATTATTATTATTATTATTATTATTATTATTATTATTATTATTATTATTATTATTATTATTATTATTATTATTATTATTATTATTATTATTATTATTATTATTATTATTATTATTATTATTATTATTATTATTATTATTATTATTATTATTTATTATTATTATTATTATTATTATTATTATTATTATTATTATTATTATTATTATTATTATTATTATTATTATTATTATTATTATTATTATTATTATTATTATTAATTATTATTATTATTATTATTATTATTAATTATTATTATTATTATTACTATTATTATTATTATTATTATTATTATTATTATTATTATTATTATTATTATTATTATTATTATTATTATTATTATTATTATTATTATTATTATTATTATTATTATTATTATTATTATTATTATTATTATTATTATTATTATTATTATTATTATTATTATTATTATTATTATTATTATTATTATTATTATTATTATTATTATTATTATTATTATTATTATTATTATTATTATTATTATTATTATTATTATTATTATTATTATTATTATTATTATTATTATTATTATTATTATTATTATTATTATTATTATTATTATTATTATTATTATTATTATTATTATTATTATTATTATTATTATTATTATTATTATTATTATTATTATTATTATTATTATTATTATTATTATTATTATTATTATTATTATTATTATTATTATTATTATTATTATTATTATTATTATTATTATTATTATTATTATTATTATTATTATTATTATTATTATTATTATTATTATTATTATTATTATTATTATTATTATTATTATTATTATTATTATTATTATTATTATTATTATTATTATTATTATTATTATTATTATTATTATTATTATTATTATTATTATTATTATTATTATTATTATTATTATTATTATTATTATTATTATTATTATTATTATTATTATTATTATTATTATTATTATTATTATTATTATTATTATTATTATTATTATTATTATTATTATTATTATTATTATTATTATTATTATTATTATTATTATTATTATTATTATTATTATTATTATTATTATTATTATTATTATTATTATTATTATTATTATTATTATTATTATTATTATTATTATTATTATTATTATTATTATTATTATTATTATTATTATTATTATTATTATTATTATTATTATTATTATTATTATTATTATTATTATTATTATTATTATTATTATTATTATTATTATTATTATTATTATTATTATTATTATTATTATTATTATTATTATTATTATTATTATTATTATTATTATTATTATTATTATTATTATTATTATTATTATTATTATTATTATTATTATTATTATTATTATTATTATTATTATTATTATTATTATTATTATTATTATTATTATTATTATTATTATTATTATTATTATTATTATTATTATTATTATTATTATTATTATTATTATTATTATTATTATTATTATTATTATTATTATTAGCACTTAACATACGGAATTATACTTTGGGGTAGGACAAGTGCTTTACAGAAGCTCTTTAGCTGTCAAAAAGCTGCAGTACGATTAATTGGAGGAGCTTCATATGGAACTCACTGTCAACCATTGTTTAAAGGTTACAGGATCCTTCCTGTTCCTTGTGTCTATATTTTGGAATCATTGTTATGGATACACAAAAACAGAAATCATATCCCCACACACACGGGTACTCACAATTATGGTACAAGGCATAGGGAGAATCTTGTAAACCCTTTCTCACGGATAAATACCACTCAAAATAATAAAGCGGACTACAATTTATACAACAACTTTGCCAACTTTCATCGAAATATTTCTATTAAAACTATGAACGTTAACAAATTCCGTTTAACAGCTAAAGAGTTTCTACTTCGGCATTGTTTCTATTCTATTGAAGATTATTTCATATTTACAAAATAGTATTTGTTTTATATTTACTGTATTTGTCTTTTTAAATTTTTATCCTATATCTTTATTCAAGACTATTTTATGTTTACAAAATAGTATTTGTTTCATATTTAATGTATTTGTCCTTTTAAATTTGTATCTTATATTTTTATTTGTATTCATTTACTACCATTGTACTGTGACGTAAAATACAGCAATCATGTAACTAAGTCAATAAAATTATCTATCTATCTATTAATTATTATTATTATTATTATTATTATTATTATTATTATTATTATTATTATTATTATTATTATTATTATTATTATTATTATTATTATTATTATTATTATTATTATTTCTCTAGAGGGCATGCTATATCTATAATCCAGGCAGTTTTAAGTATTTTGTTTATAAGAAGAATGTCTGGCCTGTTATAGTCAACTGTTCTGTCCGTCAATATTGGGTTGTCCCTGTACAATACTGCATTTTTATTTTCTAATACCTGGGGAGGATTGAATTTGTAGTATGGCTCGGGATTTTCGAGCAGTTCGTAGTTTTTTGCCACTTCGATGTATATTATTTTAGCTACTTGGTTGTGTCGGCCTAAGAACGCAGTATTTGACAAAGCACTACAGCCAGCAGTAATGTGTTCTATTGTTTCCTCTATCTTATTGCACTTTCTACAGTTGTCTTGAGCGTTTAACTTCATAATATGCCTTTCATAATTCCTGGTGCGTACGACCCGATCCTGTATGGCTGTTATGAACCCTTCCGGTGCAGTTCATCTGTTTTTAGCCAGATCAGGGAATTTTCTTTATCATTTACAGTATTGTCTAATGTCCCAGGATATGTTCCATGTAATGCCTTGTTTATCCAGATTTCTATTTGCTGCTGTTCATCAGAAATGTGTATCAAGTGTTCTGCGTTACCCAATTTTAGTGGTGTATAATTATCATCAATCTCTCTTATCTTGGCTATTAATCGGCTTTCAGAGTTTAAAAAATATTACCTTATGTCTAGTTCTTGTTTTCGGCGCAAGTTTTCAATATTTATAAGCCCTCTTCCTCCTTTTGTTCTAGGAAGGTATAAGCGTTGGATGGCTGATTTAGGGTGATGGGATCTAAATTTGGTAAGATGTCTTCTGGTTAATCTGTTTAGTTCATCCAAATCTACTTGAGAATACTTCAATAAGCCCAAGGAGTATGTTAACACAGGTATCGCCCACATATTGACAGCTGTTAAAAGACTTCTTGCATTTACTTTGGCATTAAGAAATGTTGTAATTCTATTGCGGTTTTTTCTTTAAATTCCTTCTTTAGAAATGTGTGGTTGATTGTCTTGTTTTGAGCTATTCCTAAATATTTGTATGTTTCGTTTGGTTTTAGAGGCTCTATTCCTTGGATGTTATTTTCCTCTTCTACTATTTTCCCCCTGCAAATTGTTATGTATGCACATTTGTCTAGTCCAAATGACATGCCAATATCACTGCTGTAATTCTCTGTAGTTTGTATCATTTCGTTCAGTTGTTTATTGGATTTGGCATATAATTTTATATCGTCCATGAACATAAGGTAGTTTAGTTGATACTTTGTCCTAGTATCAATCTTGTAGCCTAATCC